CCCGTTAGTGATTCGCCGTAATCTGAACCGTAAAGCCGCCACAATTTTTGGTTCTCCTCGAGAGTCGCTCGCCAAGAAACATCTTTCTTGGTCCATACATACGCATGAAGAGCATTCGGTTAGAGTTGCTGATAAAGTGAGAGGGACCGAGCACCAAGTTCCTGTTGGGAAGCTTTATTCTCCTTTTTATTTATATTATTTGTATATTAAACCTCTTGACTAAGATGGTACAAAAAACTAGATCGCACACCTAAAATCCTACAACAAGGCTTGCAGGTGGATGCAAAATAGTCTGCGCAGAAAAGATGAACGCAGTAGTACCCTCACTGTCTAGGATCCTTATAGCACTGTCACACCAGTCGCCGCACTTATAAAACTCTATAAACCCACGTAGTAGGGATGACAGTGGCAAGTCCCCAAACATACCTTTGGTAAAAATAAAGCACGGAGGAAACGCAAGCGTCAACCAAAGGATATACCGACACACGCTGCCCTTGGTCTAGCCCGACAGAATGCCTACGACTTAGTCATCAAAAAGAGCAGACCTCTCATGACATAGTGCTTGCAAAGAATTGCTGTCAAAAGCGTAAAAAGCTTTCGCACACATCTGTCTAGGATGGGTAAATGCCAACCGTGATAAAGCTTTAAAAGGCCATTGTTGCATTTTCGAACGCTGATGGTTATGTATACGCCTAAACGAAAATATAATGCGCGCGCTTAGCTGACAGCTAACTTAGTACTCGAGAGCAACTTACTGCAAGCCCGGGACGAACAGGGAGAAGACCGAAGCTGGATGATGGGAAAGTTCATGACCCCGATAATCTGATAATATATCAGTCCCAAAACACGTGAATAAGTTCACACATGAAAGATGACGTTGTCCTCAATTTAAGGCACTTGCACAGTGAGAGTAACGATCAACCAATTAGAGATTACATTACAGTGGGGGCAGAAAGTAGACTACTAGTAGTGCGGCAAAAATGACACGTTGAAATATTCAGATCAATAACGGTGTCTTATACAATACTCTGGCATCACAATGGCCAGTGCCACGGCTCTGTTTGGAAGCTCATACAGGTGGATGTGGTAGTATTTCCATTGTCGGACATCACCTGCTTTACAACCTCGTGCAGCAGAACCCTTAACGAGGGACGAGCCCCCATAATCTTCCTTTCGGAGCCGGTCATCCCCAAAGATAGGAAATACTAGCCTCCACTTCATGTGAGGCACCAACAAAGTCCCCACCTGTTCGAATTCTTCCCAGACCATCCAAAGGGACTGAACAACCTGAAGCAATGGGTTGCATTGAGAACTTGTAGGTGGAAGTGGATAGGACATAGGGCAGACCGAAAGCACCTGTTACTAGGTCCAATATCCCACACCCGCAGGGTAAGAGAACGGATTTCATCGCTCTGGTCAACGTCCATATACCAACAGGCTAACTCTTAGAAAAGAGAGAACAGCCTGCCAAGGAGAAATAGGACTACTACTGCTGGGAGTTAGGAATGGCAGCCATCGCAGATAATTTATGCCAGTTCTCCCGAGGAAGCAGAGCACCTCGAGAGAAGCCACCACGTCTCAGGGTATCAGCAATGACAGCGAAACAGTCGGAAAACATACTACCGCTCTCGCGCCAACCAGACATTGCGGGCTCCCACCCCTTAGGGATGAAACTAAACAAACCTCGGGTCACCAGAGCGGTGAAGAGGAAGTCCGGTACGGACTGGCAGTCAGAATCCGATGCAACACCACACCAGCCTTCAAACAAGTCCCCATATCACACTAAGCCCAAAACGCAGCTCCTTGACATACCGCTACGGTAGTGGAGCTAAAAACAACCTGTCGTTATCTGCAAGCAGATATAACTGTCATCACGGAGACGCGGTTGTCATCAGACCTCGTGGATGAGGAAATATCTTTGCCCAACGTGACCCTGCTCAGAAAGGACAGGCAGCTCAGAGAAGGCGAAGGAGTGGCCGTGTATATTAGTACTCACGCAAAAGTCGAGGAAACGACTGTTTGCGTGGTTAGCCTACTACCAGACTCTTAATGGTGTTATTTCACCATGAACCAAACTAAGCATCTCCTCTTTGCACGACAGAGAATAGGTCGTAGTTGCTCGGCGCCTTGGTACCCCATGGCCATGTAGTCCTAGCTGGAGATTTTAACGCACCGACACTCACCCCGGGGTGTGAAGTGAGAAATAGACATAAGCCTTTCGAACATGAACTTCGAAATACGTTTATGGCGGCAGGATTGATTAAGAAAGTTGGGGAAAACGCCAGATGGTGACCAAATGGAAAAGGACCGCCACCCGACCACTTGCTAACAGACAAAGATCTTTCAGTGGACGGTAACTGTGTCCAACCCCTCGGTAAAAGCGACCACGCCCTGGTGAGGTTCTCTCCGGCAACCAAGTAGAAACTACCAATAGCTGAGCCAGAAGCATTCCGTTGTTGCCGAAAAGCAGAATACTATCTCACGAACAGTGAACTCCTATAGGCTGCATGGCCACAAGAGTGACACTTTCTGTCGACACATGAACACCGGATACATATTGAAGATATTATCTGGAGCGCTATCGATAGGAGTGTTCGGAAATTAACCAGACGGCCACCTCTCAAGCGGTCTTGGGTAGCTCGCGCAACCCAAAGTTAAGTACGGAGGAATAAGAAGGCATGAAATCAGTGGCGCACGTCAAGAAACAAATTAGACTATCTTAGGTGCAAGACGTTGCGCAAAGTGTGTAATACGCGTTTGTAATAATAGGTGCACGTGCCAAAGCAACCTGGCTAACCAGTTAAGTTACAATCAGAAAAGTCCATGTCGGTTTGTGTCACGACGCCAACAGATGAATAAGGGTTTAAACCTGATCACATGACCTGCCGGAAAACCACTGTACGGCACTGAGATAACGGAACTGTTGAGCAGCCAATTTGGCGAGCAACTCAACCCATTGATGCATCCAATATCGTCTAGTGAAGTAACAAAGCCTTAGGACTGCGATATGAAGTTGACAAATGTGAAGATTTCGTCAAACTAAATGTTTTCAAAACTTTCAACACTGAGGATAGGGAAGTCTCCGGGCTGTGATGACATAAGACGGTGGTTCCTTGCAACTCTGCCGAGGTGCTAAGCATACCCATATGCAGTCCGTTCACGCACTCTTCGGAAGTAAGTCAGCTTTTCAAAGAGTGGGAACATGCTGTCCTTTCTCCGGTCTTCAAGGGAGATCGAAAAAAGCCGTGCAACTACAGACCGATACCCTTATTTCTCATACTTTCCAAGATAATAGAAAGCTCGGTTGGAGATGTTGATTGGGACCACCTCGACGGAAACAACATCGTTCATCCCACATAACATGGCTTAAGAACCAGACTGTACTGCGGCACAAACTTGATGACCACTTAGAATGACTAGACCACCGGATGGGGCAACAAACAACCAGTTCACGGTATATTCTTGGGCCTGGCTAAAACTTTCGATAGCGTCCCATACTGCACCGTGCTCGCCAAACTTGCCAAGGTGAGTACCACTGAACCACTCTTAGCATGGTTTACAGCCTACCCAGAGGACGGAGAATCCTGCACTAAGGTAAACAGAACTCGATCAACCTGGAGGAATGCACAACGGGAGTTTCTCTGGGAGCGATCCTTGGTCACTACTATTTTTGTCCCTCATAAATGACCTCCTCATTGAAATCTCCTTATCTGTCTTCCGACTCGTCAACAGTATCAAAATATGAAGGACGAAGAGGACCCCAAAGTACTCCAAAACGACTTGTTGCAGCTGGAGCCCTGGTCAGCAGCAAACGGTTTAAGCTTTAACCTGGAGAAGTGCAACGTGATGTATCTTCGCGCGCCAGAGGAGATGAAAACCAGCTGCACCCTTAACAGGCATGCAATCACCAAGGTATCCACAGAGAAGGACCTAGGACTAAATTTCTTTGACACAGTGGATACTACAGGCAGTCATAAGGGAATGGAGGGGAGAGGCGAACCCCATTATGCACTTTCTAACAAGGCAGCTTAGATTGTTAGCCCCAGAATTATTCCTTATGGCATTCAAAACCTATGTTAAACTACACTTGAGGTGACCAACACGATAACCCCCTACTACTAAAGAGAGACTCATACACTCTCGAGAAGGTACAGAGAAGGGCAACAAAGTTGCCCGTGGGACCAACAGGCAAAATATATGCGCAACGCTTCAGAAAACTCGACTTGTTCACACTAAGCTATCGAAGGAGACGAGATGACCTGATAACAGCCTTACGAGACAATTCACCAAGTGGACTACCCAAGTAGGAGAACGTTATCGGTCCAAAACCGACAGTCCCATGGGAACCCCACCCTCATACCCCACTTTAGGGCAAGGATGAGAGTGTGTGCCTTATGGAACGGTCTGACGAAGGACGTGACCACAGCTACATCAGTCTACTCTTTCAAACAACTACTGGATGAGTATGTGATCGCAAATGGCTTACCACGAACATTTGTCAGTAGCAACTAATGCTATGCTTTTCGACCTTTGTGTTCTCAAACCCTAGTTTCTGGAACAAGACGCATCCCCTCTCCATATTACCAGTAACACTTATCTTTCCATAAGAACTTTTCATTCCTTTTTTCTTACTCCCCAGTCATCATATTTTTAGCACTTTTTAAGTAACACTTAATAATTACTTGCAACTGCTCACAAAACAGTAGCTGCAAACGGTTAATTGATCTTATCGGCAGCTTTCTTGTCCCTCAAAACGAACCAAGCTACAATTTCTAAATAAAATACCTTCAAATAGACAATTACTACCTCCAGTGCTATACGCAGGAAGACGCCAAGACTCCTGAGATCACAGAGGAAGTAAAACAAAACAAAAAGAAATGAGCTTCAAGACCTAGAAGCGCGAGCTGAAAAACTACAGGTTTCCTCAACTTACACTACTGATGATGCATGTTGGATGTTGAACACGAAGCCAGAGATTTGAGCTCGGCGCGCCTGTGACAGTAGAGATTTCAAGTTCAAGGCAACCTATCATCGAGTTTTATTGGTGGGGCGTTGTGGTTACGTTTGGTGACGGACTCAACCTCCGGTTTTCCAATCGAAGTATATCTCATATATTAGATTGTTTCATTCTAAAGGTTAGCGCCAAGTGATTCTGGTTACAAATAAATTGCGCGTAGGGTGGAAAATGCCATACAGCTTCAAGTCGTCAAAATACTTGCTTATAGCATTAAACTTACTATACCTAGTAACTTGAAAATATTGAAAAAATAATCTTTGTTTGGACAGGTTGTCTCCTTCATCCTTGTTGGCATTGCTGCATATGCAAGAGTGAGCATTTATGTGACCAGCGTTCACATTGTTGGAGGTATTATTGCTTGTGGGGTATTTCTCTTTGTACTTGCTGTGGTTGGCTTGTTAGGAGCTATTAGACACAGTCAGGCGATATTATTTTTCGTATCCTTTGAATATATATATATATATATATATATATATATATATATATATATATATATATATATATATATATATATATATATATAGTTTCCGTTTTTTAAGACAGTTAATACAAGGCAGTTTCAGAGAGCATAAATATGAATTCTAAGGAAGACTCTTAATTCTTTTGGCAGTGGTTAAGCAGATGAAGTTTTCTTATTCTAGCTCATAAGTAACGTTTGCCTCAGTGTTAGGCCATAAACCTAATGTGGGACCAGATGTAGCACCTGAGGTCAGACGTTAGGCTGGTTGTAGGGCCATTGGTAAAATCTCTGTTAGATGTCAGGCCGACTGCAGAACCGCGAAACATTGAGCCAGACGTAGGGGAAATGTTGAAAAATCCCACACCTAGCCCTACATTTGGTCCGACGTTCACTATAGTGAGTGGCCCAACATTTTCCTGTTTGGGCCTACAAAAATGTTGACTAGGTCAGTAACATTCCATTCTTTCAAAATTGAAAAATTGTAGTGAAATTGTCGATGTTTTGCTCTCGCTAGCTGAGAACTGCACTGTTTTCAGAACTCGAATCTTCCCTCAGATCATGGATCAATTAGTCTCTAGACGTCAACCTGATGCTTGAAGGGATATGTCAGCATTCGTTAATGACCTAACGGGATAACCCAAATCATTGACTTAGAGACTGGTATGATCCAAACTTTCGTATATCTCATGCTCCAATTCAAACTGCAGCTGAGAGCTTAGAAGTAAATTGAAAATTGACCATGTTTCTCTCCCCATACCATTATGTTGAGTTACATGTAAGTAGTTAACTGGGACCTTGTTGAGGAGTCTGCTTCGTACTTTCAATTACATACCATCCTACCACGTACACATTGTAAGAATAATGTTCTCAGGAACTAGTTTATACCATTAGGTGTCTGAATGAACAAGTAGATATCTACCGGATGTCCATCAAACAGGACTTGAGAATATCTCGCACTTAAGTGGTTTCATCAGTCTCCGTCAAAGTCCAGTGGTAGTGTGAGATGTAGGGTTTCATGCAGCTCACCCTCACGATAGTAAAATACTTTATTGTATGTCAGTACGACAAACAGCATTCATCGACTTTTAGATCACCTCACAGTGTAATCTTACAATATGCCACCACAGAATGTTCACATTAACCTTTATCTTCAGATTGTTTATTCTTTCCTACTACATCTTTTTTTATCACTTTTCCTATCCACCTATTCTCTATATACCATTATGAAGTTTGCCAACTTGATCCGATGCACCTGTTCCCACGTCCCTGCAACGGGTAATGAGCCACATCTATTACCCGAGGGCTTACGAAACTACCTGGTTGCCCAAACTTTGGTAAGTAGGGCGGTGCTTTAACCCGTAACCCACTAGCTCAATCTCAGTTCCCTAAATCAATGAGCCCCAACCTCACCGTATAAGGTAGAAAGCATGACCAAAAATAGTAAACATCAACACTAGATTATTGGGAAAACTGTGCTTAACCACCACATCATGATAACCGCTGTTTTTTTGAGATATCTTTGATTCCTTGACAGAACGTAGTATATAATCCTACTTTTCAGTCTCTTTCTCGTCCAGTTCTCTGTAGCATGTGCCTGCTTGTCACTAAGTAGTGAATACCAACAGGTTTTGGTTGAAACAGCGTGGAAACAAAGCTCCGACAGCGTAAAGTTGACTGTTATGAAAGCCTTCCAATGTTGTGGCCTTCAAACACCTGATTTACCTCCGTCTGACCCGATGAGTTGTCCGCCGTGCAAGTTGGCTAACGTAAGTAACCTCATTGCATCACAAGCTTAGTTTTCAAAATCCATTTTTTTTATTTTTGTAAAAAAGAATGATTTACAAGGTATTGTTTGTGGACTAGACGAACATTTCTGTATTTTTTAAAATTCCAAACTCAGTATCGTGTGGTGTAGCCCACTGACCCAACCAATAGGTCCTGCGTTCAAATTCCGCCCCACCTACCCCATTCCAGACATTGGGACAATGTCATAAGCATTCACACAATAAGCGTTGTCAGTAACCTAGCCTATCATTATGTATCAGGTTTTGCTGTTTTTATGATAATATGTATCTTGCAAGCTATACTGTTCGTTGTAAAACAGAAGTAAGCAGTTTCGGTAGCGTTTATACCACTTATGATCCGTCTCTGGCTGTGCCTGCTTGTGGTTGTGACATTGTTTTATAAAGCCGAAGTAATGAGAATTTCGAAAGAGAAACACAAATGTATTCCTCTTTTCAGGTTATTCGTGGAGTTGATTGCATTGAAATACCAACTGATATAATTCTAAACAACCTGGTTTTTGGGGCCTAAATGAAACCGTAAATGCTTTGCGCAAACTTTATAAAATGACGAATTGTCTAATAAGCTCATGAATTTTCCAACCAATTTGTGCATCATTGACGATAATCCACATTATCCCTCAGATGGCTCAAATATATAAACCACTGCACTTCATTGGTGGTTTCAAATTTATTGTTATGGTGGCCGAAATACTGATGCACAAGAATCAGGCATACTATTTTCAACTTAGTCATCAGAACGTCCTATGATGTCAGTAGATCATTTAAGTATTAAAAAGATAATCAGAAACTACCACTTAGAATAACGTATATTAGGGTAGTGTAGGCGAGTTAGTGTTCAGGTCAAACTTTACAGCTGTTGATGTTCCAGTTCAGCAGCTAAAGCACAGATGCGTACATGATAGCCACAAAGGAGTACATAATCAGTAAAAGCCAATGCTTTCGTCATTCAACAACCAAAAACAAATAAGCTCAAAGAATTGAAGGGACCAGGTAGTTTTTAGACTTCCTCAGTACATTCACATCTTCATTTTTTTATATGAGTCTACCACTTGGTCTAATTACTCGGTATTCGACCAGGAATCCAATTCATGAGTTCGGACTTCACTCTACTCACCAGTTTATTTAGGTTCATGCTTTCATTAATCCTCACACAAAAGATATGGTTTATCAACTAGTGCTGACGCATTTTCGTGATCTCTGCTACATAGATATACCAGATTCTGGAAAGAATAAATAATCAGATCATTGTTTAGCCCAATTTTGTCTTAATGAACCAGAATTTGGTGTCATTCATCAAAGTTTCCAAGTTCAGATTGTTTTTTTAGAAGTTTTTCTATTGTTAAAAGCTTGAATCAGTCAACTGTAAGCATTCGGAGCTCATGATAATTATTCAAACCCGCCAGACATATTCACTTTTTCCGTTGTAGTTTTTTACTGGGAAACTAAGTTTACCTGTCAGCTATGCTATTACTGCTTTATCTTTATTTTTGAAGACTTTTGAAGGAAGTCAGTTTAAGTTTGTGCATCGCCTCTTCAAGCTAGGTAAAATTGCAACTTCAGACTTCAGGTCATTCCTATATTAATGTCAATAACTGCTAGACAGTACGTAAATGAATGGTTGCCAGTACCCCTTTAAATTAATATTTTTCTATCCAGAGCTTGTTCCTGCATTGTCTTCCTCAACAAAGGACTTGACAATCATCACTTCTGTACCACTCTTCAGCAATCCCACATGCCTGTCAGTTACTTATTGGTGAAGATGTGTCATTAATCAATTCGAAGAGATCACTCCTACTCATTAGGTTGTGTAACTCCATGATATTGATTTATTACAAATTAGACGTCATGATGGATAGGAGGGTAGCCCTAAGCCAGTTTTTAAGAGGTAAATAGCTGTCCATTGGCCTTCATTTACACTCCTGACTTACCGTAGACTATTAGTGAAATGATCTTTACTCATATTATTTTGGGTTTGATGCCTTGTGTATCAGCAGAGCGTTATCGCATAAAATGATGCGAATCGAGGTGCCATATGATTAGTTTGTTAGTCTTGTTAGTAATAACTGGAGTGCTGTCGGTCATCTATTTCTACTTATAACCACTTAGTCGCGCTACATTATACTGTATAACCTTCAGTCTAACAGTTGATCTGTATTCTGTGAAGAACCTCACTCAATATATTACTTCATAACAGCAGAATAAGGTGATTCTACGAGCTGCGTTAAAAGTGTCTATCAACTAGAAATGACTTTGTGGAACTGGTCATTATTTGATCAAAGATCTCTTCTATGATGTTTTGTAAACCGAAGGGGTTCTCACTTTAACTGCTTTTCCTATCCTTCTTACTTTTACTCCTTATGGTAATGCTATGTCTTTATGTTTCTAAGAGGTATAGAAAATTAAAAGTAAATGATGTCTTACAAGGTTATACTTTGCTACAATCAATCAGTCTCGTATTTTAGAACTATTTCTCGTCCTCACAGAAGATTAAATTATCGAACTCTCTCTTCAGTCAGACCTTTACGGCGAGATTATTGATGGTGTTTTTTTGATTCTTAGCTTTCCTGTTGCAATACAAGTGAGGGCAGTAACTCTATCTGTTGTCAGGGTCCAGAAGCATCTAGTAAGTTTTGCCCATGTACTACGACTTGTTGGACTGTGATTGAAGAACGACTGTCAACTGGTATCCGGGTCACTGGTGCTACTAGTCTTTTCTTCAGTGTAGTTGAAGTAAGTCTCCCACAACTTGGTGTAACCTCTGTTAATGTATAAATTTTTATGCACTTGTTAAAGTAGTTTCATTTGACTAAATGTAATGTTTCCCTGACTTCATTATTAGCAATATCAACATAGTACTAAGAATTATTGCGTAACAGTCCAGGTTCCCACACTTTGTATCAATACATCAAGTAACAAGGCAATAAAATAGAAGATGGAGAAAAAATTGTTCGAAGAAAGCAGAAGTAGAAAGTCTGGAACACTTCTTCCCTCGAGCTCTTACCATGCCAGAAAAGTCTGTTGGATAGTGGTTAGACGAAAAGCAGTTACCGTTGTGGTGTAAATTACTAAACTGTGATGGGGGTCCGAGGACAAAGTCGTACTGCTGCTATCTGGATGAAGTGTGACAGCAGTAAAGTGTTTCTCTTGGATGACCAGCAGTGCCATGCTGATGCTGCTTTCTCAGTGGAAGGGGGGTAGGAGTTCGAAAAGGTCGGCCCCGAAAATAACACTCCACCATACCCCATGGTCTGCTGGGCTGGCGGCGTTGATTCATTTGTCGTTTCTTTTCGACCATCCGGCTCCAAAACAACAAAAGTTTAAAACAGTGGTTGGAGACTAGGTGATATGGCTGGCAACCGATGTCAGTGGTGCAGATGTATACACACATTATCCTTGTCTTAATTCTTTACTGAATCTCACCATTTTCTCATTCTTCCTTTCTCTCTTTTCGTGCTTTGTATTTCTTTAGACTGAATTTTCTTTTCTTCATCTTCCACTTCACTGCCTTTTTGCTTTATGTACTGCTATGAGGTGTGGCAACTCGGACCATTACGCATTGATACCTGGTCCTATGTTGATAGATGATGATAATGATGATCTTGTGATAACCACAGGTGAACCAACTTGGCAAACAGTGTCTAAGACTCTAAATTCTACAATCGTTTCCTGTGTCTGAGCGGAACTCAGGAACAGGAAACCCTGGCAAAATAGAAAGGTTTCAAACCTGATCATGGGTTCTGGAACGCTGGCACGCTGGATGATTGCTGTTGTTGTGTTCCGATTACTACCTAGCCAGTTTCTGACTGAAAACAGCTGTAGTGCCCTCATTGTCGAGCTGCACTTGCGGTGGCTTTTACTCCTGAGGTTTTTCTACGTCCATTGAGATGCAGACATACACATGCTCAAACCAATGCTTGGTCACTATCCAAACACGTGCTCCAAAAGGAGCGATAGTCTTTCACCGACCCAGTCGAGCGATAACTGATAGCAATGTGATCTATTTGTGCCTACCGCCGAGTTGAACTTGACGTCCGCCACGTCAGACAGTGTTCCTACATATTTCTGAAGCTCGTGCTGACCAGAAATAAATGGTTCTTTAAACACAACTATAGCACGCCATCTCCACTATCTGTTCGTTCGGGTAGAGTTTCGATAGTGTCACCTAAGTGTTTTTCTGTTTGACTTAGCCTACCCACTTGTTCATTTAAATCACCTGCAACAATTAACACGTTTGAGCGCTTGGCTTCCAGCAGGAGGCAAGATAGTTTCCGATAGAACTCATCCTTTACTTCACCTGAACTACAGTTAGAAGGTGCGTAAGTAGAGGTTACAAAAACTCAGCGATGAGTTTCACTACTCTTCTAAGTCCCTCACTGTGCCGTTCATTCGAACAGTGCACAGCCGACTGTCAACTGGTATCCCGTCAAATAGTGTAATCTCTGCCTCGGTGCTCACTGCTAAAAATACACCTGCAAGACGGCGGGAATTAGCCATCGAACGTCCAGGAACTCGAAGGTTAAATTTTGCAGATTTAGCATATTGACCGGGTGAGGTTAAGTAAATAACCACGCATGGGTCCTGTATGTGTGTCTCTCAAACGAAGCATGTACCCGTGTCCTGAGTTGGTAGAGTTTTGGTTACAAAAGCTTTGGAAGTTTGAGATTTTGGTTTGTTGGTTTTGAAGCTGACTATAAACCCAGGTCGCCAGCACCGGTATACCATAGGGTAGTGAGAGTGTACTATTGTTGGGACCCACTTGCTCTTATCTCTTCTTCCCATAGGGAAGACATCATCAGTGTGGCACTGTTGCTCATCCAAGAGTAACACCTTCCTGCTGTCACACTCCGTCCAGCCACCAGTACAAATTCGGCCCCGCACCCCATCGCATAGAGTATCAATTTACACTATGATGGTAGCTGCTCTTTGTCTTACTGCTATCCAGTAGACCTTTTTGGTATAGTAGGACTTCTAGAGAACAAGCGTTCCCCTAGTATAGCTCGCTGAGTCATCGTGATTTACAAGCCCGATCACCACGTCCAGATTATAGCTATGTGTCAGGAATCCACTGACTTGTATCCATAGTAATGGTATAAGAAGTTGGATGAACTGTAAGGAGCACAATGTTACTAACTGGAAGAAACAACGAAAAAAGATGAGGAAAAGTGATAATAATGAGTCGGAGTTTTGGATCACTGGAAGAATGCAAACAGTCGAAAATTTCCGACCACCTCCGCCATGTAAGCTGGTGTGTTCTTGAAGCCAATGAAATGAAAAGCTTGCCAATTTTTCATGGCTGTAGAGTTAAAAGTGTATCTCTTTATGACCTGTGACATGGTATTTTACTACTATTTGAGTTTATAGACTTGGATTTGTGTTTGGAGACCTGTAGTATTGATGGAGAAAAGATGGAGAATGAGGTGGAATACACGGTTATTAGGATTGATGTTTTCTGACATCTCGGGATCGGAATGTAATAAAGCTGAAATACCGATCGCTCGAAGGGAACATCTTGCTGTCAGTAGGTTATTACACAGTCAGCAGTATGACTTCGCCTGTGGTCTGACCCTCGTCTAATTAACCCGTCTGGTGTGGTAAGACTTCGAGGGACAGGTGACTCTTTCGGTCATGGAAATGTTCAAGCCGGACAAGCATTTCGAAGTAACACCTACTAGTCTAGGATAATTTGTAAAATGAAAAGCAATATGAATATTCTTAACGAGATGTAATAATTTGGTTAGGTTAAGTGTCTTTTAAGCATTTAAGTAGTTCCTTTTCGGGATCTCCGAACTCTTGGACTTTCGGCATAGACTTTGTTCTGTTCTCAGTGTAATCCGGGTTACCGTAATGAAAATTTCCCTAACATTACATAATAATCCTAAGAAATATTAGGCCTTTTAGAGTTAATGAACTATTATCAGCGATCGAGTAACCTTATTTATTTTACGCATAAATTATAACCGAATAAATTAATAGAAATACTAGTCCAATCACTCAGTTTCGGTAAAGACGACTGAAATATTAAACTCAACATTTCAGCTTACAACTTCTTGGTTTTCCAAGAGATACTGATAAAAGTATTATTTTACAAATAAGTCAATTGATTTTTTCCAACTTTCCCCTCGGATATAAGCATTCTTGGTGATATAAATCTTGCATGATGTTTGGTTAACAGGTATTTTCTAATCAAACTGATTTTTCTATCGTTTTGAGAATCCATTGTCTTCATCATAGAGGTTAAGTTGAGTCAATAATTTGTATCTGATTTAAGTCTTTTATGATTATTTGGCTTCTACTGTCTTTAGAAACTAAAGACACATGAGTTGGTTCATGTGTCTATGATTTCGAAGTCTCCACTACTCGTAACTGCATTTATCTTTTTTTATTAAACTATAGTTATAAATGACTAAGATCAGTGCGATGAATCAAAATCTCGTCTTTACACATCGTTAAAGAGATTAAATCGACCTTGAGTTGTTAAAGTTGATCAGTGAAGATCTTTATTTGTTGTTAAGTTATCATCATCATCATCATCATTATCAACATAGGACCAGGCATTACTGCGTAACGGTCCGAGTTGCCACACCTCATATCAGCACATCAAGTAAAAAGGTAGTGAGGCGAAGGATGAAGATAAGTGAATGCAGTCTAAAGAAATATAAAGTACGAAAAGAAAGGAAAGAGGAGTGACAAAATGGTGAGATTCGGTATAGCGTTGTTAAGACAAGGATAATGTGTGTATACATCTGCGCCACTGACTTCGGTTCTGAGCCATATCACCTAGGGTCTCCAACCACTGATTCCTCTTGTCCCGTGGACCCCAACCACCTAGTCTGCATCGTCCTACATGGCTTAAACCAACAGTTAAGTTGTTAAGTTATATTGTAGCTTTATGCAAAACTTAAGACCAGTGGATCAATATACTGTTTGAAACTAATCTTTGACCAACTAGAAGGTATATAAAGGCCAATCAAATAGGCTTTTTCTTTAATTATATGCTAACATTACTGGTCTTGTACCATAAAACTGAAATATGGTTAATCTAAGCACATAATTGTCTTTCTGATAAGCGAAATTCACATCAGAAGTTATGGAAAGAAATTTATCTAATCTGAATATGGATAATAAATTGTGTCCGAAACATTGTCCAGTAAATGATACTATTTTCCTATGTGATACATCTAATAAACAACCTGAAATGAAAAATAAATCCAATTGCATTATTTAGCATATATAAGGATTGGAAGTGCTTATATAGTTAACATTTCTGAAATTACTGGTTGTCGTGTCCAGTCTGTTAAAATGAACTACACAAGCGAAAAGGACTGAAATCTACGATTGGTCAAAATGTTATAATATTAGGGAAAAAAACCGTAGATGGCAAGATGTAAGGGTAATAAGAAGCAATTCACTTAATATTAAAACTGCATGCTTATTGGGATATCCTACCGGTAACTTCTGGCTAAAGAAAGAGTTGTCTTGATAATGTGTATCTGAAAAAGGAGTTGAATAAGAAACTTGAAGATTTAGTAGCATTTCAGTGCACATATGTGTGTTAGTACAGTAAGATAATGCTTGTATGCATTTTCTCATTCTTCCTATCGCTGTCTATAATCGTATACTTTTTTATGATGTAGCTACTAGGAGTTTGGACAGCACTTCGTTACCGGCATCAACGTGATCCTCTGCTCGATCCTAACAGTGTTCTCTGATCTTTTTCTGTATTATTCTTTCAACACACTTGTTTAGAATGATTGTTTCTATCATTGCTATTCAACACTATAATATTCAATAACTTCCAGATTCTTGCTTTTAAATTTGCCCTCAAACTCCACTGTCATGCAAAAGTCTTTAATTAACATTTCGATATATGCTTAACATGCCTGTGTTATTCACTTACTTACTTTCTAGTCGTTCATAATACTAGACTGATTTCAATTCCAATTTCATTCCTCTATTTTGGTTATGCTTTGTTTTGTTTTTTTCTAAAATATTCATCATCGAGCGAAATGTTGTTTCTATTATTCGCATCACACGTCCCGTGAATCTTTTATCTAGACAGCATCCTCATTTTAGATATTCATTGTAAACTAATATTGAAGGCTGTTTTCATACATTCATTTCTCTGTTGGTGGTAGCATATTTATGTCGATTAAAGCACGCGTTTATAACTTATTGTTTTTGTCGAATTGCTATGATACGAAGTATGGAACAGATTCTCTTGTGAACCTTTTAATGTGTTTGCATATTGCTATACAAACCTTGATGAAATACGAGTACATTCAGATGAAAGTGTATTCATTTGCAGTTTTTCAATCTCTCATCATGATTCTCTTTTCTGCTTAATGTAGTTTGTTATTTTCAAAGTGAATTTTTCACAAAAAACGAGTTCAAACTTACTGGTGTCTATTTATTTAAATCAATTCGATATTGACTTTATTATCATTAGGTATATACCGTTTATACTAAGTAAACTCAGTCAACTGTCGTATCGGTACAGATGATAAACATTATGATTACCTTTCATAGTTGCCATTTCAAAAAAATCATCTCGAATAATAATCATTACTTTATGAGATATGTGTTATCCAATCCTTCATATTCGAATTAATTGGTCGACCAGGAGTTGCGTGTTCCTTTCCTTAATCAGTAGACTGGGATCAACACTTATACCTTCAACTTAGAAACTAAATGCCACTTGGCAACTAATATACAGACCAAAGATATCCTAAAGGCTGCTTTATCTCTGATGACATGTATCCTTTTTTAACTATTGTTCAAAAGCCAAAGGTGTTGTAATGGTTTATTCGTTCGACATTCATTTTGTAAATTATGAAATGATAAGTTAAAATCAGCATTCCGCTCATACAACAACGATTTATTTAAACCCCCTTCCTGGCTACAGTTTCATATTATTATTATTATTATTCCCTAGGGTTCCTAGTGGAACGTAGGGCTTCAGTAGCACGCCTCCATTGCACTCTCTTCTCTCCAGTCTTTTCAACCTGGCGCTACGACTGCCCACAAACTTTTATTTCTTCCTCACACCATCTCCTCCATCGTCTCGGATACCCAACTCGTCGTTTCCTCTTCGGATTCCACTCGAGAGCCTGGTGCGTGGTGTCTCTGAATGGTTTTCTCAATGTATGCCCAATCCATCTCCACTTTCTTCCGCATATTTGTTGCCAGATAGGTTCTTGCTTCTTTGATTTGTTGCCAGCCGGAGTTCCTTGTTGCTTATTCTTTCTGGTCTGCTGATCTGATCTTCAGTATGGAGTGAGCGTAGGCAGCAGCTGTTGATGAATGTCTGTAGTTTGTGGAAATGCTTTTCGTGACTTTCCCTGTCATATCATACTTAGTACAATTATTTTTATTTTTTTCAGTCTCCCTATGGATGACTAAAATTCACGAAGCTTTGTTGCTAAAAAGACATTTCGACTTTATATACCAGTTTCTTTTGGTTATTTGACACAAGTTGCTGGTCGTTTATTTTCAGTGGGATAAGTTAGCTTAAGGCTATCAGTCGGATATTTTAAGTATTGAGTATATTGGTGAGTCATTATGGTGGTCGTTTAACCATTGTCAGTCAGTTTTAGCTCGCTCCCGTAAAATACTTATAGAAAGAAAGCTTATTTTTACTTTTTTGCTCCCATGTACTGTCTTCTGAAATCTTTATTACTATGTCAGTTGAGTTATGTATACACTGTTAACTTAGTGTATTCAAAACTCTGGATCTCCAATCAGTGTGATCCACACGTACTTTTAGACATCCAGAAACTCATAAGACGATAACATATACGATATTTGTTTTACGCATTTAAGGTTCTACCAAACAGTAGCATACTATCTGTATATACTTTAAGATTATACTAACATGTTTGATACTCTTAAATCATCAAGAAAAGAAGAATAAAAATGTTCCTTTTCGACAATATCATTTTCTAAAGCTGTACAATCGTATTCATATATACCACAAACATAACAGTCTGTTATTAAACAGTAGGGTATAGTTACATGATTAAACTAGTGCCAAAAACTGAAGTCAAGAATGAAAAGTAGTTGCGTAATAACCGTTCAGACAATGGAATAATGAGAAAGGCAAGGAGTTTGACAAGGTGAAAATTGTTGGTAGATGTGAAATACGATGGTTGGTTGGCCACACTTGACGAAAAAAACAAGGGTCATAATGAAGGTGATGATAGCAAACTAATTAATTATAATGAAATAGAAAAATTGTGAGTGTTAAGACCATGGAAACATAAGAGATTAAATATACTTCATCTGCATGCAGAGTTGAGGCTTGAATTGATGAATTACCAGTGCTTTTACTGTACATAACTGTCTAAAGAGTACTCCTTTGGAACTGTTCCCTTTGACTCTGTAAATGACACTGAAGGAGGACTCTGATGGAGCTATATGTCCAGAGTTGACCAAGTGTTCAAGAATTGAACTGTTAATTGATTTGCATTGTTCCGTTGACAACCATGCAGGATAGTGCTCAGAGATACGTTTGGAAAGTGCACGCCTTGTGCGGTGACATGTTGAGTTGATCCGAAGTAGCGACTTGTCCTTAACGCACTCTAGAACCAACTGCTAACTAGAGGAGCTCATGTGTAGCTTCGCAGAGAAAAATTTTTTTTTCCCCAGCTATTCAAACAGCTGATTCTTCAGGATCTCTTCTGCCATAACACCTTTGAAACTAACGTTCATAAATACAGTTTTCTCTTGAGTTGTGAGTACTTGCTCCTTATTCTACTGTAATTTCAAGTTTTTCTCAATAAATACGGATGGGTATCTATTTCTTATGAAAATTTTCTGTGGTTTGTCCAATTCATCGTTGATAGTACAGATTCTTGATGAGAAAGAATGAATCAGATCCCTTTTTCTGCCGAGAAGCACCCAGCTGTAGAGATTTGGGTATTCTCCATTCTATATTGGCTTCCTATAAATCAATCTCTGATGGGAACCATCTGATCTCCGTTTCAGTGAAACATCGAGAAAATGAAATTCTGAGTTCTCTTCAAATTCTGATATGAAGTTGACCGATGGGTGACATTCATTCAACTTTTTAACTGGAGTCCTAATTTCTGTATTTTGATCACATATGATGAATGTATCATCCGTATATCTTTTATGTAGGTAAAAACTATCAATTGTTCAGGGGAGCACACTATTTTCTAATTTGCTTTCAACCACCGAAAACCAAATATTTATGACCGTTAATATATTACTATGTAAAAAAAAACCTCTCCTCTTCATTTCAGCATAAATAAGGAGTTCAGAAAAGCAATAAGTACTTTAACTTTCAAAGCATTTTTACGCGTTTCGATGCAATAGAATATATCATCTAAATAATCCGGAAAACATTTGTGTACCCCGCAGTCGTACTATGTTCAATGTGAAGCCAATTTTTTAGAAATCGGTCATCAACTATTCAATGAAATATACGCAGTAGTTATAACTACTACAAAATCCTAACCAGAAATGAGTCATTGCTCGTTTAAAAATGTGCTTGGTTAAATCAGCATAAAATTCTGTATAGGAAGCATGCAATGTAGTAGTTTGAGAAGTAATAAAAATGACTAAATTCACTGAATTACAGATTTTAACTCCGCTTCAAATTTCAAGATTAGAACATATCTCGATGCATCTCAGGCTGACTAAGCTAGTTGGAATGGTGAATATACAAATTCTCTAGAATTCAAAATGGTCTATCAAATTCTATCGAGGAATTCGTGATACACCGACAAACCCTAGACAGCTACTCCTCCTTCTACAGGGGTGCTTCATGCACCGACAACCCCACCTTTTCTTTCTTCCTATCCCAGAATTAGCAAACAGTGATGTGGAAGCCCCTGGGATGACATTTATCCTCAAGCTAGCATTTCTATATGATACCACTCAGTGAGTGGTGTTCCCTGTCTCGTTGAAATATGTACCGTCAGGCTTCAGAGTAACTTGCATGGTGATTCCATTGAATGCAACAGTTTAGCGGATATAACGGTGATCATTTAGACAGAATCGTCAGAGATGCTTAGCTTAAGAGGGTCAAATCTCATGGTCATAAGGTAGAAATGTCTTCACTGCAGCGCTGTACATCTAGCCTTCTTCAACCAGAATAATATCTTGGTGAGGCCAAGAGTCCTTCGAATTATTATATACCGTTCTGCCTTTCCATGTACAATTAAAAATTTCCCTAACCACCCCTTTATCAGCACTCACAGGAGCACTTAGATGCTCGAATCTTCGAATACTTTCAGTAGCTTGACACCAAAAGTGAGTTCGGGTTCCTGTCTATCTTAAAAATAATTGGACCTTGATGGTGTAAAGAAACTACGTACTTCTGCAGACACTGGTTCGGTGTTGATTTGAATTGCCTGTATTTTGTAAGCAACATGATTGCATTGCATACTTGGGGTCGAACAGTCATTCTCTTGGTACCAGATCTACTCCATCACCATGTGCCTTTTTCACAGTCCTCTTGATAATGGCAGAGCTAGAGAGAAATGACAACATTAAACAGCCTAACTCAACCGCTGGTTTAGAACAGTGTGTTGTCTCACTACTTAGAATTCCTCTTGGACCACTTCTGTAGGTAGGTCAGCATTAGCTATCATAGAGCATAATGCACTCTGTACACGATTGCTTGTACTCTATGCCAGCCAGTTTTCTGTTGAAGTTCGTCACCTAGCGTTCCGCTTGTTTCTGGAGGTAATTGCGCAGTGTGTGGTCTGACTTGTAGACACCAAACTTATTCTGTCGGTAGCCGGAAAAGCTCACCATTAGTGATTCCTTTTCATTTGTGCTTCCTAACCACCTAGCTTTCCGATCCTTACCTGAATGCGTGATATGCAGTGTAAGAGACTAACGCATGTAGTTTTACTTGCTCTTCACTGGAATAGATCGAAGAAATCCCAGGAACTCGTAGAAATTAAGTGTTTAATAACGAGATGATCTGAGAACCCTTTCAGCAGCTTCAGTTACCATTTTCATACCTTACTGTAGGTGAAACCAGCTCTGGTCTGTGGTTTTCGAAAATTTCGACAACTAACTTGGTTCGGTATTTAGTTGCGATACCGGGTGCAACCAGTTCACTTACGTTAACGTGCTTAGATTGACGGTTCTCATCACTGAAGAAAGGGGACTCCAAACACACTGATGACCTAATGTATAATGATCCCGGCCATCCTCTCTAAATGATTCTACTGGCCCATTTTAACATAGTGGAAGTGTTTACAAAACTTGGAAGGAAGTGAACGGCCTCTACTATAACCGGATTAGTATCCACGGAAGGTACACTTAAGAGTTGATAAACTCTTTCATACAGGACAGAATAGTGGTGTATGAACCTATCTTGGACACCAGTAACCATGCGAATGGAGCAGCTCACATCCCCGACCGACTCAACGAGCTGTGTCAGTAGAATGTTTGCTTCCTCAAACTCCTACCATAACAGAAACGTCAGTTTTATAGTGACGGAAGCAGTCACTATTATAGCGTAATTTAGTACATTATGATGCGGGTCAGGCAGCGAGATTATACTGCTGACTGGATGAGGATTTAACAGAAGTAAG